GCAGAAGGTACGAAATGCTGCTCTTACTTCTATGACATTCACCATCTTTCCACTAATTTCTTCATCCAGCCCTTCCTTCTTTCCCTCCGGTCTCTCCCAGTAAGCCTTACTACCACCTCAGCTGTTCCATGAGCTGGTTAATCCCTTTTCCTTCCCCCGTCCTTAATGCAGCCAGGGCAAACACGTGCCAAATCTACCACAGAGACGGATTTTCACTTTGGCTGCTTGGAGGGACTGCCGTACTTGGGTGGCTCAGGCACACCTTGGGAGGCCATGAAGGAAGAAGAGAGGCACAGCTTGTAAATGTTATTCCCACAGCACACACAGGACTAAACAGAGGTAAGGAACACTATTGGGGCTGATATTGAAAATAACAGAAAATAAATGTTTCCTACCCTGGCACTGTGCAAACCTTGCATAAGCCTCAGGGTGCAACCTGACAGTTGCTCTTTTGCAGTTTGCTCTAAATAGGATTTATCTAGATTTATTTCACTTACATCAAGAAGACAGTGTCTGTGGGACGTCACTGTTAGCTGCTGCAACTTGCTGCTCTCCTGGGCCTTTCACTGCTTGTGCCTCAGGACCCAACGCTCCTGGTGGCAGGAGCAACATTTCTCAGAATTGAGGAGCACATCTGGCAAGGATGCTCTCTCAATTACCTGATTGAACTGAATTTCTCTTCTCCAAATTGCATCTTGACTTCAAAGAACTTAAGCTCTCAGCAAAGTAGCTACACCTGGAAAAATGAGCAGAAATAGTTACCATCTTGAAAGGTTTTCAGCTGGTTGGTTTGTTTTCCCATCTCTGTTTCCCAGCTGAATGTGAGATCTTTGTGAGGCTCTGATTAGGTACTCACCAAATCAGTGTCATGTTAACTGCATTTTCACCATGCTACTTTACTCCTCTGGTGCTGCTTGCACAAGGGATCACAGAGCCACTTTTCATACACTTAAGTGAACACCAAACAACAACCAGAACTTGAACAAAACCTTGACTTTGGTCTTCTCACAGGCTGAACAACTAACATGACAGTAGAATGCAGTAGGATCCAGCCAATAAGGATGCAAGGAATGAGGCTGAATGTTGGTCTACTGTGTATGGAGACAAGCAAAGAAACATCTGTTTATATGTTCCTGGCCATGAAACATCTGTGGCTCTGAGGTTTTGCCTGCAAGCCTGAACACTCTATTGCAGACACCTGTCATCTCCAGGGGAGGCATATCTACACACAGACAGGTACTGCATGGGAGCTTGAGCCATTGCTTTTGATGTGAATTTGCATGTAACCTCATAGACTCAGGTAGAGAAGCCTCCCATATTTCTGAAGCAAGACAACTGACCAAATTGCTAAAATACACACAAAAGAAAAAAAAAACAACACATTTTTGAATGCCTTCAAGAAGTTTTCCTATATGTCCAAAGGCAAATTTCTGACTCACATTCCCATGTATATTAGAAAGCAGCCTGAAACCCTTCCCTGCTTTGTCATCAGGTTGAGGAGAGGAAAACTGAGAAGGCAGCAATTGGTCTCAAGGCATGTTCTAAATCCAGTCCTTGGGGGCTAAAAAAAGTGTCTCTCAAAGGAAAGTGGCTTAATGAATTGAGCCTCTTATCTCATTTCATTAGATGAATTTATTAAACACATAAGCACTTATTTGTGTAATTGAATTTGATCTAAGCCACTCTTCTCCTCAGAAACTGCACTGCTCCAATCCAGCAAGTGCAGCCTGTGCCGCTCTGTAACAGCAGCAGACCTGATCACGGTGGGAGGTGGGAAGGGAGCAGTCATGTTTGTCACTATCAGCAAACACAGTCTTCCTCATGGAGCACCTCCTGTGGATGGCAGGTAATTCAGTTCTTCTAAAAGAAAACCGAAAGATGTGTACTGTTTGCCTACAGTTTTAGTGTGCTCAGGAGCATCACTAATTATGCTTTCAGACAGCCAGTGCTACCTACACAACGGCTCACATCTCAGGTATAGAAGATGGTCTACAATACTGCCAATCATCTGAGTTTTTGGCTTTGTAGAATTGCTAAGACCTGAACACACCTCCAAGCTGAACTAACCCCAGCCCTCACTACCAAGTCCACGGAGGACTCTGGCATATGGACATCAAAGTGAAAGACAAGCTATTGTAACGCTGCTAGTGCTGTACAGAAACAGCTCACCAGATGGTTGAGGTGTCATTACATGTTTTTTTTAATCAACACTGAACTTGCGACAGAGACAATTCAGTTTCACTCTTCGAGGCAGAGAAATGGTGATGGTTTTTCTGTTTGGCTAACTGCAAATGAGCCACTTAAGACAGAACTTTAAAAGTGAATGCTAATAAATATTAAGTAACAGCGTACTCATACTTCAGTAAGCATAAAAAAATTGTAACTTTCATTTTTAGAACCTGCTGAGTATATGTTCATTACCATAGGAGTCAGTGGAGCCAAAGAGCAAAAAAAATAGTAGTAGCTTGATAGTCTAATTCTCAAGGGTGTCCCCTTAAGGCAGGATTTGTAGACATAAACACAGGTCTTGTTTTCACAAACTTGCACAGCTGTGTAAGCATTTTGTGGCTAAATGAAGAAATGCAACTTGTGGGAATTTCAGAATAGTACATGCCAATATAAGGAAGGTAGAACTTGTCAGGGATGTGGTGGGCTCTGCCTACCTAGGATGGGATCTGCCTTGCAAGAGCTAAGCCCAGAACCTCCAAGCCTATGGAGGACTCATCTCAGAGATGGTGAACTTAAATGTCTGGATTCAACAAACAACAAAGCTGTTTGAAGAGCAAAACTGTAATTCCAACTCACTCTTCTCTCCTACTCAAACCTGTCTAGTTTTGGAAGCAGTTAATCCCACCAGGCATCTTTCTGTTTGACCTTAGCACCTACAGTTTTCGTGAACTCCACCTGCAGCAGGCCAAGCAATAAGGTTCTCTTGAAATAACATCTAGGGCTTTGTTCTAGTCTGTCTTTTCTTGGAAGCATACTAATTCCATAAATGTCCTGAAAAGTTTTTAAAGAGGGATTGGGGCTTTTTTAGTGTTAGAATATTTTAAGTTCATTTATGTGTGCAAAAATTTTTCCATTTGGAGCCAGGCCCAAAAACAATGGAAATGATAGAATCTCAGTAATATCAGAGCTTTGGCATCAGGGCTTGAACATTATCATTACACTTAACACCTGTAAGCACTGTCATGCGGGTGTAAGATCAGCAAAAGCTAATGGTGTTGCAGAATAAGGAAAACAAATAATGATGTCCATTCGTTCAGTGAAAGACTGCAGGACCTGCAAAAGGGCAAAGTTAAGAATTAATATGACTTTTGCTTTGTATTACTTTCTGAATGTTAAATGATTAACTTCTAGCAGACTCATGAGGTAGCTTTAGTGGCATACGTAACATTACATTCATAGCTTTTAAGTCTCTGTGGGCTTACACGTGAAGCTTCTGCTCAGGGATAAAGTTTCTTTTTCTAAGTATTAGCAGCAAGAATTTTAACGTTTCTCCCACATCTCTTTTTCTGGTGGAAACACTTGTGGAAAGAGAGCCTTTAGAAGAAGGATAGGTATGTATGTGTCGGGGGGTGCTGGTGGTTGGTTTTGGCAGGGGCTACTGTGGTTAGCACACATTTGGATCAAACACACCAGCAAAAAAACTCTGAGAGCAATAGATGGGGGCTTTGTGTTTTCAGCTGCTCCCAAGGCAATCCTGGACCACAGCAGTCTTGGACGGGAAGCAACACTCCTTCCAGCTGCAGAAATGGCAAGCGCCCTGGCTTTTCGCGTTGTGCAGTGTTTGTTTTGTTTTTATTTCTGTTTTGTTACTTGAGAGACTCTTGGAAACAGGCTGTCGGCGGGCCAGCTTGCAGCGCTCCCCGCGGGGCTGGCGGCGCGGTGCCCTCTGGCGCACGGCGGCGGCTGCAGCAGCGCCCGGGGCCGCAGCCCAGCCCAGCCCAGCCCAGCCCAGCACAGCCCAGCCCAGCCCGGGGCATCCGCAGAGGAGACCTAACACTGAACCTTCGCATCTGACACGCCACCTCCTTCCCACGAACCGCTTGCCACGTTGTACAGTTCGGGCGGGAGCGCTGCCTGAGAGGAACCGAAGATCCAGCTGTCTGGATCCAACCCAAAAGGGTTTTTTTTTGTTTTGTTTTCTTTTTCTCTTCATGTCGCTTCCAGAGCTGAGCTTCCGGTTAACGACAACTAACGCAGACACAGCCCACCCTTGTTACTTACGGCTAAATCCACAAAGGATTAACTTCAAGCTGTTGCCATGTGGGCCTGGCAGCACTCTGTTAGGCAGCTGAGCACACCCATTAATTACACAGCAAATTTAACCAGACCAACAAATGCGAAGCACTAAGTAAGAAGTCACTCAAGTGAGCTGGGAGGGTCAAGAGGAATGTCCTGAGGCTCCTTTGCCCCAAAACCTCGGGCACTGGCATCTTACTACAGACTGTAGACAATACCTGACTGCTCAGCAGTTACAGCTTCCCTTCTCCAGAACAAGGCACCTCACCAGCCCAATGAAGCAGAGCTGTATTTGAAAACCAGGTTTGGAATCCCTTCTTACAGGCAATAGCTTTAACTACAGCTCCAGAGCACTGTACTCATACACTCTTTCTCTGGTTCCACCCTTTTTTAATTATACCATTTTAAAGTGGAAAAGCTCCCAAGGGGGAGACCTGGGAGACTTCTTGAACACATCTCCCTGAGCCCAGCAGCTGGACATTCACAGGATGTAACAAACTTTGGACACTGATGATTCACATTGTATCATATTTGGATGGCTGCTTCTGATCCTGGGATTTCAATATTTTGTTTTGAAAACCTATTTCTCCTGCTGCAGATATGTGCTGAGAGTGCTGACAAGGAGAAGAACTAGAAGCTTGGTAAGCTGGAGGGAGAGGGGCCCAAGGTATAAGCAAAAAAATTAAATCACTGGGCACTGCTACCAGAGGAATAAATAGAAGATCTGTTAGCAAAACTAAAGACAACCAAAAAAAGAGAGAGACCAAGGAAATTTATTTACTTTTTATCTATGAACAGTATGACATATAATTATAGACAAGTTTTGATACACAGGAAAACCCTTTTGTCAACCATTTTTTTTGCTAAATGAAACAGCACAATAATCTTTACACATTCATAATTTGTTTTTTCTTTTTTTTTCCTTTACAATACACAGCTTTCTTGGATTGAAGCAAACTGCAGGACATATTGAGTACTGGTATATTACAGCTACTTACATCATTTAAGAACAGCAAATGGAGAAAAATAAGTTATTTAAATATTGATTTCATATACAGAAAGTGCAACTTTGTTAGTTGTTACATAACTTGCTCAACAGTTTTGATTCCCCACAGGGTGTCAATTAATGATAAAAGTATCTTGGACCGAAAGTATTATTTATTCTAAAAATAATACAGTACAACTGCACAGCTGTGACTTGGTGAATCGACCACTATTACTGCTCTTAGAGATGATGACCTGTTTGCAGGTTTGCAATGTTTAAGGCTTCTAATCATGCTCCCAGTTTGCATCCAAAGCCAGGCTTGTATGAGAGCATTGCCACCTGGGTAACAACAGTGGGTTATTGATCAAAGCTTATGGTTACGGTGACATTTAGTAATATTTTGGATTTGCTGCTTCTATTGTTAAATAGCTGTTTGAGTTACTAAGATACAGTGGATAGATACGTAACGTTGTTAGCCTGAGCAGAGCAGAGAAGATTCCAGCAGCAGGTTTCTTCCGTGCTTCCCAAGAGTTAATGAGTGAGCTGTTGCTTAGAGCACTGAATGACTGCAAGAAGATGCAAGTGGCTATGGCTCTCATACCACACACCATCTCACTTGCTTGGGGAATGCCACAGATCACTGAAACCACAGCAGGGAAGCTCAAACACTGAGAAGCTTAAGGCTTTTTTTTAGATTAAAACATAAACTAAAATTGTAATTCAAATGAGACCACAAAGCATAGTCTTTAAAAGAAAACAAAATAATAACTAAAACTCAAAAATCTCAAACTGCTCACTCTAGACGTGATGGGTGTGATTTGGTTTCCCTGGGTCACATAATCTATGGATTTACCAGGAGTGTTTGGCACACAGGTTCAGATTATTCTCATAATTCTCCTTCTGTTAATAAGAGCAGGAAAAGTAATTAATATGGAAGAGCTTTACTATACAACTTGCCTTCCCTGCAACATAAGGAAATTTGTTTCCTTTTTTTTGTTTTTTTTTTTTGTTCTGTTTTGTTGCCTATAGCCAGCTTGGACTTTTCTCTTGCTCCAATATAGCTGCTGTCTACTTAATTCTACTCTGTTCTCATCCCTGCCAGCAATCCCAGGAAGTCTCAATACTCTTTCCATTTCCTGCTTGCTGATAGTCGCCATGTAAGCCTCAGAGACCAACAACAGACAAATTATCATTATTTAAAAAACACTTCATTTTTTCTTTTTTTTTAAGAATCATAGAATATTGAGAGTTGGAAGGGACCCATCAGGATCATTGAGTCCAACTCCTGGCCCTGCACAGGACACCACAAGAATCACACCATGTCCCTGAGAGCATTGTCCAAATGCTTCTTGAACTCTGTCAGGCTTGGTGCTGTGACCACTTCCCTGGGGAGCCTGTTCCAGTGCCCAACCACCCTTTGGGTGAAAAACCTTTTCCTGATATCCAGCCTAAACTTCCGCTGACTCAGCTTCATTCTGTTTCCTCGAGTCCTGTCAGTGGCCATGAGAGTGAAGAGATTGGTACCTGCCCCTTCACTTCCCCTTGTGAGGATACTGAAGACCACCAATGAGGTCTCCCCTCAGTCTCCTCCAGATTGAACAGACCAAGTGAACTCAGTTGCTCCTCATAAGGCTTCCCCACCAGACCCTTCACCATTCTTGTGGCCCTCCTTTGGATGGTCCCTAATAGCTTCATGTCTTTTTAAACTGTGGTGCCCAACATTTCACACAGTACTCAAGGTGAGGCCACACCAGATTTTCACCAACTGTACAAAACACCACTGGCTGTATGTTTCCTGATGCTGTCATACTAGAACATGTTGATTATCCACACAATAAGGAGATCATTACAGAGATTGACTTGAGAGTAATCTCGAGTTACATCAGTGAATTAGTTGCCTTCATATGATGGTTTGAAGTAGACAGCGGTGAAATACAAAATGAGGAAAGTAAACCTAATACCTTTTCAATTCTACCAGGAGCCAAATCAGTTATCATCTGTAGTCAAATGCATATTCGTGTGACTTAAAACATGACTATGAAAGGATCAGATATAGTAAGGAATCCTTAAGGAGTAAACATAATTTTTCATGCATCAATCCGAGAGCATTTTATGAGGAGAAATCATTAGCTCAGTATGAAGCTGGGATAACTGAGGCACCAAATAGCAAAGTGCCTTGTCTGGTTTTATACAGTAAATTGACATCAGAACTGATATTGGAAATAGTCACACATGCTGCCCTGTGCCCAGGTTTCTACACTACCTCCCCTTTACCTGCCAGAGTAAGCTTGCTCTGCCTTCCATGGAGTATTTGTATTACAAGAAGCTGAAGGACACACTACATATAGACCCCAAAGGATAAGCTGGTTATGTGCTATTCATGATAATCTGTATTTGGTATATAAAATGTGTACCCAATATAGAAAAATAAAATTTGTCATTAGCCAGATGGGCGACTGGGAAATTTCACATGGATTTAGGCAGAAAAATATTACATCATGGAAAAATGGTTCACCACATTTGCCAGAACAGTGCTCTCTTTTAGTGAGAGGTAACATTAATGCACTCAGGATGGGTATCAACTGTTCTGAAAATCACAGTGTCATTCATGAGACTATAATAGAATCTTTTTTGTCCATGCAATGGCATTACTGGATTTGATGATTTCTGTGGGACGCAATTTGCTTTTTCAATGCAAGCGATTTTTCATTTGCAGAAATCCACTGTTTGGAATCAATATGGTCAGGATACCAAGTCAAAGCTGCAGCATAATGATTGACAATAAAACACAGTACACAGAATATGATTAAAATGAAAAGCAGTTACATATATACAAGGCAGTATATCTTGGAACAGTTTAGTAACAACATTAAATGCAGACGGTAGTGAACAAGAAGTTAACCTGACAATCAAAACCTAGCATAACCCTGCATTTGTAAAAGCATCTCTACAACACAGAAGGTGTTATGATGAGGCATTTTATAGAAGCTACTTCAGCTGGAAATCACCCTAAGTGTAACTTAAGGGTGACAGGTGGAAACTAGGCTTGGGAAATGTGAATATGGGTAAGTGAACACTAGGTAACTGCTTAAAAGCTTATTTTAAGGCAAATAAAAAGCTGATTGCTAGAAAGCAGTTATAAAAATGACCTCAGCTCTGTACAAATAAAAAGAAGCTTTCTGACTCTCCATGGGTTAGTTGCATTGGAGTGACAGAGATGGACCACGCTGAAAACTAATTCCAGTCCATTAACTTTGGCCTAGCTAAAGGCTGTGTGGCATATTGGGAACACTACCAAGCAACAGCAAAGATGACCGGGGAGGGCTTTGTGTTTAGTTCTAGACTAAAATAAACAAAAGGCATTTGCCAAACAGCTTCTACTGGAATTTGCGCCTCGGCCTGTACCTGGAACCTAGATGTACAGGAGACCTCTTACTAGTATCACTATCACAAACTTGAGGAAAATGTGCAAGGGTCCCTAATTCTGTGAAGCTGTCTGGTTCTCAGGACAACCCTGTGCATTTTATGAAATAAGAATACTTTAGATGGGAGTGACGGGGGAGTGAAGTACCACATCTGTGTTACCTGGTGGTTGCTTCTCTTCTCCTTCAGTTGCCAAAGACTTTCATATCATCTGAAGAAGATATCTGCCTGTCCTTGGGAGCCACTTCCTTGATCCCTTTAGCTATGTGAAGTAATTAGAGCAATACTGGTGCAGGAAGAAGCAGTGAATTCTCAAGCAGGCAATGTCACACTATGGAGCATGTAAAATTGCCTCCGGATCAAGAGGTTTTAAGAGTCTTGCTGCTGCCAGGAGCTTGCTTATGTGCCTTTCCTCTGTGATGCCAGCTTTTTGAAGGCAAGTTTGTGACAGAGAAGGCACTTTGCTCAGTGTGTTGAATCCTGCTTCTGTGAGCAGGCTGGAATACATAGGCAGACCAATGGAAATCAGCCAGTCAGATACAGAGGTGATGAGTCCTGGGGATATAGGTTTACGGCAAATTTCAGTGAGTCCTCCACTTGGAATCTGGGGAGTGAAAAAAACAGAAAGAAAGGAGAACCCTTAATGTCAAACATATCTGCCTTTACAGCAAGTTTGGTTTTTTTTTTCCCTTCTCTTCCAAACTGGTATAGTTTCATAGCAGATGGTTCAACTTCCCTCATGTCAGATTTGTCAGTATGAGAGCAGTGTGGACTAAAAGGCTAAGATCACTTGGCACAGAAGCAACAATTTTGGCAATGTAGACACAGTGGGCAGTATCCAGCTGCTTGTGTAACTGTCATGTGCCATTCTGAATTAGTTTATGAGCAGTAAAAAATATCCAGTAACAAGACTTTTTAGAGTGATACATTTAATTTCTCAGTTAGGCAAGAGAATACCAATTTTGTTTATTACCTCCTCAAACAGACCACGTTTTCTTAGAAAAAGCCATCATTTTCCCCTCCTTCTTTTGCTGAGGAGGAGTGGACACTAGTACAGTTTAAGAAATGAAAAAGGAGTGTAAACCCTTTCAGATTTCAATAGAGAAGTATTTAATACATGCCACTCTCAGTGAGCAAGTCTCTGTTACCACTGCTTGCAGTCTGCTTAGACTTCTAGGACTATTACTCAGCCAAGAGAGGGATATCGACTCTCCTTTCAACCACTAACTGTCCTCCTTTCGGACAGGGGGTGGTACATCCTGCCCCTACAGTACCTCTACCTGTGTTGTACCTGCTGGATGAATATAGGGAGCACTTTTGTACCAGGACTTCACAAGAATCTCCCTTTACTACTAGTCAGTCCTTTTAAAAGTCTGCTCATAAACAAGAAAATTTGGTCTAAGGAAATACTCACTGCCATGCGATGCTGCTTCCTCAGCTGCTTAACCCGGATTTGGTCCAGATTTGTGGCAACATCCTTTTCAGGCTGCTCCAAGTCTTCAGAGTACCTCTGTACCAAAGCCTCAGGAATGCCACAGCGACCATGCTGAATGTTCCCAGCCGGACACAAAGGAGAGAGGACAAAATAAAGAAGTGTATCAATACAGACCAATAAAGAAGCATAGGATGGGAGCAAGAAGGAGCTTTCCTTGAAGTTCCATGAAAAATGAAAAAAACAATCCCTTAGGGAAGGACTGGACCTTAAGACTCATTCCTTCCCCTCAAAAAAAAAAAAGTCTAATTGATGCTCTCAATTTAGAGTTTCTTGGAAACATAAAATCTAATCATTACTTTCTTTTTCAGCTCTACTTCCCCACATTAGCAGAGAAAGAGACATTTCCATGTCCGGTGACACCAAGGCACCATTAGCCTGAAAAAATGAAGGTTCAGAATAAGTCTGGGATTTCTCAGTCCCCCACAACACAAGAGTTACTTTAGGCATAAAGTCTGAGAGTAAAGACAGAGTTATAGAATGTCTAATGTCTCAATGATTTTTGGTTTACTTTGGTTGGTTACTCACAAAAAAAAAATCATAGACAATAAATGAAAGAATAACCCTTGCAGTGCTAGCAGAATGAAATCACTGAAATGGTTACCACTTACCTTGTCTGAGTACGGTTCTTCAGTAAGATCAATGTCTTCAGACTGCAACTTGTTTTCTATCACCATTTCCAGATCCATTCCCCTGCTACAAGAGACTTTCCTCGCTGAAGCAGGACCTAGCTTTACCACATGCTGCTGAACACTAGCAGTCTCTGGGAGCTCCGACAGCCAAGGTGGCAGTGGGCTAGGAGGGGTACTGGGCTCATGTTCAGAGGATGTCCTATGGACAGGTACTCCATGACAATCAATGGGACTGGATGAGCTGGTCTTTTTTACTGGCAAACATGGTGCTTCTAGACTTGAGTGGTTCCCACTTGTGGTCATGGGAGGATGGTATAATCCATTAGAAAGGCGTTCTCGGCATTTTTTGGCAGGGACAGGTGGCGGTTGAGACGGATTTTTTGGTTGCATTCTTGCCTCATTTGTGCCTTTTTGCTCAGCTTCTAGACCTCCCTTGAGGACTGGAGCATAATCAGCCCGTGCAAGGTCATGAAAGCCTTTACTTTGTATTTCCAGAGGCATCCTTGTATTTTCAGCGGCATGATGCATCACTAAGGCAGGCTGAGCTTCATAGTTTTTCAGGGGGAATGGAGGAGGCTTTCCACCTGCAGTTTCCATTATAGAGCAGTCCAATTCCTTAGCTCTTCCCTTCTGAGAACTAGCAGCTCCCTTACCCTGCTTAGCCATGAAGTCATCTACCACACAGCTGCCTCCACGAGGGCGAGGCGGCAGGGCAGAGCCAGTTGCCTTTTTTGCTATATCCAGTGAATCCTGAGGAAAAGACCCTACTTGCTTGCTAGTGTCCTGTAGGTTAGCATTGGATTCTCCCTGGAGATCATCCAGTGAGTGGGATCTTGGCCACGTATCTACATCCTGAGGTCCATCCAGAGTTTCATAGCTCCGACAGACGGCAACCGGTAAACTTCTGCGGTTCTTCTTCAGACCTGTGGTGGCTGGAGGTTGGACAGAGCTCTTCAGAGCATGATGTGCACAACCCAACCCTTTTTCCCCATGCTGTAGAGTTTCTATTGACTTGGTCAGTGGAAGCGTGGGATAATTTGATAGCTGGTTTTTGCTGAAATCCTTAAAGCTATGGTCACTTGCTGATTTTGAGGGCAGAAGACAGGTTCTTCGAGTTTTACCTAGAAACAAGTGAACTCACCATTAAAAAAACCCCATGCAGCATAAATTAGAGATCACTTCTAAATGATTTTGAAAAAAAAAAAAGATTTATTCTTTGTTAACTCTAAATGTACAAGAACTCAGTGCCATTTTAAGCATATGTATTTGTGAACTTCAGCTTTATTCGTGAAGAACTAGTAAATGTGACCAGATAAGTAAAATATATCCAAAATACTTAATATTCTTCCTATTCTCCAATTTGCAGAGATTTGAGGTTTAGCTCATAGAAATCTTTTTCATGTAGAAATATCCTACAGTTAGAACTGACACCCTATGTCACCCTTCCTGCACAAGAAAGTGCAGGAAGACTGGTTTAGTACCAGCCCCTTTGTTAAAATACTTTTAGGAACAGCAGAGTTTTATAGAAAAAGATCTCATGAGATGGAGAAATGTTTCAAAAGGGAGTTTCAAGTGTGACTAATATTAGTGTTAGTCTCATGTCTCATGTCACGTGTGTTATCAAAGTGGAAGGTCTTAGAGATTTGGTGTTTTACTATAAACAGTTAAGATATCAATATGAACCACATGTTCTTTGTAAGCTTTATTTTATATTTTTATGAGATATGCACCACTGATTTTAAATAGTGAAGTCCACCAACTCTGCTTGACAGAAAAATCCTGATCAAAGGGACTGTGCCTACTAGAGTATTCATTACTTGAAATACAAGGTCTTTTCTCAAATACTATATAGAGGTTTTTTTTCTTTTTAACAAGACAGAATTAAATTTGTCTCAAAGCAAATGACCTCTCAGAAAAACAGCACATCCTGAACAGTTATTTTTTTCAGGGTGACAGGGATATTTTCCGCCATGTACAGTAAGCTTTCTAAAATCAGGATAGATAGATAGATAGATAGATAGATAGATAGACAGACAGATAAAGCTCAAAATTTCTTTTTCCAATGGAAAAGAAAAAAACCAAACAGCCAAAACCTCAAACCAAAAGATTTGGCTAAATGATATCAAAAGTCTGTAATAAAAGGCAATCAATAGCTGCCAATTAAAGGATCTGATCATTTTAGAAATCTGAGAGGTTTTGCTAACTACATCAGAACTAAAGTAATGTAGTGTACTTTTAAGCAATAGATGCTTTCTTCTCATGCAGCTTGCCTTCAAAGCGTTATCCTAAAAGAAGTTCAGTGCTTGGCTTTTGAATAATATACACTGCTTGCCTTGCATAGGAATGAAAGAACCTGTTTAACCTAAAAAAGAAATAGCTTGCATTCTCCTGCATCTTACTCTGCTCAAGGAGTTTAAAAAACAATGTATCCAGAAAACTAGAAAAGAAAATGGAGGTTACATTTAAGAAGAGATGAGGAAAAGATTGCCATCAAAAAAAGTTACTTTATCTAAAGTCAAGGCGTGCCTACAAGGATGAATGCAAGCACACAGGAATTGGTTTCTCAGAAGCTGTATGGTTCACAGTTCAACTCAAATTAAATATTACTATTCCCACAAAGTGCTAATAGAGACACATCCCACACTGAAGTTGGCCCCCTCGCTACTACCTTGAGTTCAGGTAGCTCAGAGAACTAGTAGAGGCCTCTCTGTCTGCATCTTTCCAAGGAGCTTAGCCACTGCCTTCTGAAAATAACTTGCAACCACATTAAAAAGACATGTGTAAGAGATGTTATATTCATTTTTTAGTGCCTTCAGGCACTCATGTCAATATGTAATGAGCATGGAAAGAAGTGTTCTCTTTCCATTATTCATATTTGCCAGCACATGTCTGACTTCTGCAGTAATTCACCCTATTGTCCGGGGCTTGCTGTCAAAAGCTCACATAACAAAATCCATGTACCTTCTTTTCAATTTGAAATATTAATCAGGGGTTACACCGGTTTTAGGAAAGCCCACTCAGGAATCTCGGCACTGAAATAAAAGTTGTGAGAAATGCTCCTCCTGTGCAATGTAAGCTCTTACTGAAGCCATAAGGCTCTGCTCTGAGGTTATTCCTGTCAAACACAGGATAGTCCACAAACTGTATGTTCCTTGCTCTCTGTGAATTGAAATAAAACTGCAACGCTGCTGTAAGTACACTATGGATACCTACGAGAATACCCAAACTTTTCTGCAGTGGGACCCAGAGAAGTACTTACAAAACATACATATGGATCACTGCTACAGTACATAGCAAACAATTTTCTAGCCAAAATATAAGAGTAGCTCTGAAATCTTGAACTGATACCAAAAGATCCAGTATCAGCCCCAAACCAGACACTACAGTAGTCATCAAAATATTATGTATAACCATCCCCCAGAAAATGTGAAGACTAGTTCCTTCTCAGAATGCATTTGTCCTTTATGAAGTGCTGATCTGCACCATTATGATGTTTATATTAGACAAATGACTATCCTTACCTTAAAAGATTAGTTTTGAAAACAACATGCATATAAACAAGTATGGTCCATGAACTTTGCAAACAAGGTGGAGCAGATTTCAGATTAACAAGCCTTGACAAAATCTCTGAATGAATCCAATATCAAATGTTCTTTTCATAACAGTTTTCAAAACAAGCACTAAATGCATTTGTGAGCAAAAATGACGCAGAAATGCAGCAAGCCATACATAAAAAGCAATATAAAAATCATCAGCATTTCACATTCTAGAAAACTCAGACAGAAATATTAGTTTAAATGTAAGTATCTAAGCAGACAGGCAATGCCAATTGCTTTCTAAAGGTTTTATTATATTGTTAAAATAAGGAAAATGTACAGGCAGAACTTTAACTTCAGTGTTACAGCTATCATTATGATGGCACTTAGAGATAAAAATGAAAGAAAATTGTCACATATGCCATATATTTAGCTATGATTCTATTCCAGCGTGCCTACTGGATGTGAATTCATATTCAAGGAAAAGGACCCCCTGCTTTCAGGAATTTAGTATATTGCTGATTTCAGGCATTCAGCTTCAAAGCAAATTGCGATTTTCTTCAATAAATTGTTATTTTTGAGTGGCGGAAAATGCACATACTAAGAGAAAGATCTTTAGCTCATATTTTAAATTGGAAAAATGGCCACTATAAGGGACGTACAGTATCTATTCATTCTGTTCCTGGTTTCCTATTTATGCTGGATGTTAGTGATGAAACCAGGCAGCCTGAGGCTAAGCCATGGCTCAAATGCTTGGACCGATAATGCCAAACTTAAACCAGTATTTTCTCTTTTAATATTTCGTCCCTAATGACAAATTTAGACCACCTCTCAAGTAAAGCATGCTCTGTTTCTTCAGAACAGAGACAAAAAAATCTCTACTATCATCTGCCTTGGTAATTTTTCACTGTATCACCTTTTACTGATGCAGGATAAGGCAAAGGGAACTGATATCATTAGGAATTTTTTCTTTTAATTTATTTCCCTGCCGACTTCTCAATTAATTTAACTTTCTAGTATTCACACAGTACAAAGTCCTAGATCTCTGCAGCTGGGTTCTGATCAGCGAAGAATGCAACATGTAACCTGAGCAAACACAAAAATATGGCCTAAACCAGAGGACATTTTTTCTTAACAGAAAAAATCCTCCTAATCTCATCAGAGTTCAGAGACTTCTCCATTGGTGATCCCTTAGACAAGGGCTATAGGTGTGCAAGTAGTGCAAGCCTCAAGAGGCACAGTAGCAGGAGAATATGACTGGAGTGGAGAAAGCAGGGAGTGGTAGTGAGAGTGCCTGTTGCCCTAGGATCACAAAGGAAAGACTGTTTGTGAAATGTGATCTGTTTCCTACCAATGCAAATAAATAAATTATTAACAGTAGCAATGAAAACCAATGGCTTAAGCCAAGAGGCAAAGAGGTAGTCAGAGCAAAGGAGAAAGTCAAGTATGAAGTAGCTTTTGTTAGCTAGGAACAGGAGGAGAAGTATATGAAGTTATCTACTGAAAAAAAAGACTGAAGGAATTTTAAGGCTCATTGCTGTCACCATTACCATTCTCCAGGTTTTCACTGCTCTCGTAGCAGCCAGAATCCCGAGGAGAGCATCCGGTTAGGCCTTGGCCTTCAATGAGAAGTTTCTCCTGAGATCCTGACTGGTCGCTGTTACCTAGAGGATGTGAGAATACAGTGAAAAACAGGCAAACAGAAAATGTGACTGAACTTCTCAACCTTCCATTTCAAACACCATTATTATGTGTGTCCAGAGAAGGGCAATGGAGCTGGTGAAGGGCCTGGAGCACAAGTCTTATGAGGAGTGGCTGAGGGGGCTAGGGTTGTTCAGCCTGAAGAAAAGGAGGCTCAAGTGTGACCTTAATGACCTCTACGACTACCTGAAAGAAGGCTGTAGCCAGGTAGAGGTTGGTCTCTTCTCCCAAGTAACAAGTGATGGGACAAGAGGAAACGGCTTCAAGTTGTGCCAGGGGAAGTTTAGCTTGTGAATTAAGAAAAATTTCTTCACTGAAAAGGTGGTCAGGCACTAGAAAAGGCTGCCCAGGGCAGTGCTTGAGTCACCATCATTGGAGGTATTTAAAAGGTGTGTAGATGTGGCACTTAGGGACATGGTGGACTTGGTTGGACTTGATGATCCTACAGGTCTTTACCAACCTAAGTAATTCTATGATCTTTCCTGCTGTATTAATTGACTACTGTTTTATAAAAGAGTGAGCATTAGGAAAAGCCATCACAAATGTTGGAAACATTCATCTTGTTCAGTAAATGATTAAGTAACAGCCTCAGCAACAGTGTGAGGGAGCAGCATGGTACATAATGAAGCAGAATGGAATTCATGTGCGCAAGTTAAAACCGTGGAAATATATTTAAAATGTATAAGTTCTTTCTAAGACCTAAAAAAACCCCAACACCCAAAAAAAGAAGAAAAGAGCACTGAAAAGAACCAACTCAAGTAAAAAAGAATAAAGCCCTAACTCTGAATTACCTTTGAGAAGACCCAGAGGAGGAAGGATCAGGAGTGGGGCTGGCACTCTAGATACTGTCCCCTAACAAAAGACGAAGAGACTAGTGGTACCAATTCCTTCCTTCCTTGGTCTATGCAAAGAGCCAACACCCAAGTGTGGTCCACTCAGGCTGCATAGACTGGATTCCAGGAATTTACTCAGAATGTGTTGTCAGAAATCGTATTTTGTAAAGAAGCTAAATCTGGAGCTGAAGATACAGAAAACCAACCTCATGACGCAAGGATACAGTTTATGCTGTGGTTTTTTTCCCCAGCAATGAAATGTCAGAAATGGCTATTTCAATTCCTACTCTCAGCACATGACAGTTAATTATGGGGTGGAACTATGCACTGTTGCCTCTTCCAGGTTAGAGCTGTCTGGTTCCCAGTTCTCTTTCTCCTCATCACCCTGACTTGAAGCTGGAATTTGTACTTTCCAACCACCACATCTTCAGGTTTTCAAACCAAAATTGAAGGGCTCTGAAAAAATTATTTCTTCAGGGAAGTAAGCATTCTTAATAGGTCTGAAAATAATGAAGAGAAGCTCATATTGGGTGACAAAAAGCTACTCTGATATTAGTGAAAAGAACCTAATTCTGCAACTGTGGCTTAATTGTGGGACTAGAGAAGGGCCAAAGAAAGAGCAGATGACTCTTTGGGAAACGAACAAGAAAGCTACATGTCACTGAGCACTTGGGCCACACAGCATTGTCAAATGATACTAACCACACATATCACTATAATTGAATTAAGCACTGCCCACTTAACAAGCAGCTGTTTAAATTGCTGCTATGGCAGTTTAAGCTAAAACACAGGAATTTGCACAGAAGCAGCTGAGAAAGCCCTCACACAATCCATTCCACTGATTCTGCTCGGTGGAGACTAATGTTCTGCTGACACTTGGGGATGAAAGGGAAATTCAGCACTGTCTTAGGTTGCTGCTAATACGCCCTGCTTATTCTTGTGTGGCAAAGACAACATTGAATTTGACTGCTATGGCTTACTCCACTTTTCCTTTTCTTTGCAACCATTTGCCTGACATCACATGTACAGTGGGCAAAATCGCACTCCTGCACATTAGATAGGTGGGTCACTGTTTTTCACTCTTTGCATTTGACTGATATATTTGCTCCCTTTGAAAATCACTGTGTTGTCATACATACAACCTGAAGCTACCTGTACAATCCTGCAATTAACAGTCCAAGAACCATATGTATCTACAGGTAAAATTAATTCACATTACACTTCTCCACGGCTCTCTGGGCTTTGAACTTTCTTCTACCCTTGATAATCTTAATCTTGTCCCTCTAGTCTGAAGATTTCTTCTTTCCTATTCTCTGTGTCAGCCTCTTCTTTTGAGTAGGTTATCTCAGGATTTGTTCTTGAACATCAGTATTCTACAGCATTATGTATTGTACACTTGATAGTAATTGAGTAAGTTGGGTGGCAGAGCTTATGCAAACAGAAGAACTTTGGAAGAACAAAAGCAAGTCTTAAGTCACTCCTCAAAAATCTAACATGTTACACAGGGTTACCCTGGACATAACTACATTAGATTTAAAAAAAAGGGATCAAAATCCTGGAACAAGTTTTCTGCTTTAAGGGGTTCACAAGGTTCTTGGCAGAGCTCTAGTAAAACATAAAACCTCAAACATCCCACGTACTATCATATTCCTGTAGAAGTTCCACTGCTGTGAGAAGAACAGCTCTGTGCTCAGGATCTCGAATGTTCAGTTCGTCCAAATCTTCTTCTTCTAAAAGCTTAAAGGTATCCAGATCTTCATAACCATTGAATAGAAAAGTGGGCATATGCTCCTGCACAAATGGGAAAAAAGGAGAGAAAAACAGAGAAGAGCTGTAAGACAACATATTTATTCAATTTATTTTGTCAATAAAGATACTAGATGAGATTTTTGCAACCAGTAAAAAAAGCAGTAGTTAAGCAAATGCAAACCAGCGCACAGTACCAAAATTATAGTATTACAGTTTGTATAAACACTGCTCAGGGTTCAGAGAAGTAGCTGTGGCAGAACTAGAATGCTGCACATATTTTTGTATTTGAAATGCACTATATTAAATGGTCTGGGTATCATGCTACCTGAACACCTGGTACGGCATGGCTCTGTATGAGGGGAGAAGTATGAAGGGTGAATGACAGCCCCACCAATCTATCCCTAGCAGTTCTGAACAGAAATGCAGAGAAACCCCATCCTCTTTAAAGACAGGATAACCATTGTTATTTTACACGTTTTGCTTGCCTCTGGAGTGTTAGCTAGTGGCCATACCATACAATGATTTACAGTCTCTCAGTACACACGGCTTGCAGCCTGAGGCACTTCATTGAGCTTGACAGGCAGTTCTGCCTGGTCTCAGCTATTCTGACTCTGCAGCTAAGACCTGATTCTGCTAAGTGGTGTCACAATCCTTAGGATTATGGGTCTGGTGTGCAACTTTCCAAACCAACAACTCAAAAGCTGTGGCTCCCTTCCCATAAGCAAAACTGAAGGGTAAACAGAGAGAGAATTCGGACCTTTAAGTTGATGCGATCCAAGAGATCCTCAACTGACTTGGGCTGGGGTGGTCTGCTTTTTCGACGCCTCCTGGTGGGCCGCTTCGGCTTCTCTTCCTCTTCATTTAACACGTCCACATAGATAAATTTGAAAGTGCCAACTTTGTTGTTCAACAGGCCCATCCAAGTGCCCATGGGGGGTTTGCTGATTATATCAATGATGTCACCCTTCTGCAGACCAAAGAAGCAAGAAAGCCTCCTAAGCACATTTTCTGATAGATATATTTAAGCAAACACACCCACCTGGATTTCCATGTACATGGAACAGACAACACTCTTTAGTTTTCAAAGCTCTTGCAAAAATGTCTAATTATACTTGTTTTACCAGTGGAAGAAAAGGGAATTAAGTGACATGACTTAGATCACAGAAAAAGTCAACAAAAGAACCTGGAATGGATCCCTACCGTCCAGATTCTCCAACCTGCTGAGACCTCTGTAGAGCACCACTGCTGTTTTGTACAAAAGTCTCTAAGCTATGCAATTATCTGAAATTGGTGCAAATAAGAACATGCTCAGTGTATAAGGGCATAACCTCACATCAGACCTCCTGAGCAAAGGAGGCTTATGCAGAAGGAACTGTGCAACAATGTTGCTTTTCCTAATGTGTCCCTGACCATAACGAAAAATGGACACAAAACCAGTTCTGTATGCCTAAAGGGATTACCTTGGATACATCTGCTTTAATAGGAATTAGCTGCCATTGGAATTTTAAGTAACGAGTGTTAAGGGGTCAGATCATTTGAACTGAATACAGCACCACTGAAAATAATCAAGGCTGATATGAAGAAAAAATTAAAGACAGATAACCACTCAGTTGGCAAAGGATTTCAAAATTAAAACAAGTTACATTAACTCAAATGCCTTTAAGAGACGCTATGTACAGGTGCATGGACATTTCTTCCAAGGGTTTTGAAAATTTTTCCATTGAGGATTACTTCATTGTGGCAGACAAATTATTTTTCCAGTCTTTCAAGCAAAATCCTTGCAAAAGGGAAATGAATTCATGGCACATTTTTGTTTTTCCCGAAACTAAAGACACAAGTGTCTTTCCCTAGACGTGGAGAAATACCAGTACTTACTTATGTTCTATAACATTTTGCCATAATTCTGTAATTGCTATATAAGCAAATCTTAAATCTATAAGACATGTTAAAGGGCTTCAAAAAAGACATATATATTCATTCAAAGATTAAGCTATAGTTCTTACAAAGAGCTTTCAATTTAGAATTTTAGCAAAATAAATGTTTGACCCCTTAAAAAGAGATATAGCTAGTACCTTGAGCTTCAGAGAATCTGTATCATAAGGACTTGGAGTAAAATCAGTGTGAACCCTGGCTCTTCCACAAAAAGGTCCTCTGTAAGGAGGCTCTTCATCATCACCGTCTTCTGATTTCACACTCTCCCTGTTGCTGGTCGAGGAATCTGTTGTGCTCACTGTCTGACCACCTGTGTGAGAGACACAGAATCAGTTCACAAAAAAGCTTCTGAAGAAGCTTCAGAAACAGAAGCAAGACAGAAAACAGGTCTTCTTTCCAGAAAAGATGATAATCAAAGTTAAAAGTCCTTAAATACTGCTATTTTTCATACACACATGTGATGGAAGAGTTAGTTAATCTACTCTGCACTTCTGTTTTCCTGAATTCAGCTCCTCAATATTTAATTGAGACGCTGTTTAACTAGTGTCTCATCTATAGTATGTCACAGGAGATGGTCATCTTTCTCGGAAGTTTTGCTTACAAAAAAAAACATAGTGGTGTGAGGAAAACAACCTCCTGCATGAGGGTTATAGAATCCCTCTCATGTCCTGGAATTTGGTGAATAGTGTAGCAAGTTCACATCATCTGTGTTCCATTTAAGCTCTGTTTCATGTGGAGACAATCTTAACCCGAGACATTTTAAATACTACTTACTCTTCCTTTCAACTATTTAATGAGAGAACCTCAAGCTTTCTCTAGAAGGAGGGTGGGAAGCCTGCCAGGAGTGCCCAGGAAATTTCTCACTTCAAGTGAGAATTACGATCCTTGGCCAGTAGTAAACAGGGGCGTTATTATATTACGTTTATATTATAATATTTATATTAAAACAGCAGGATGCAGCAAACCCAGACAGAAAGTTGGATTTCACTTTTTCAGGGCTCTCCATAAACAACAAAGCAAAAAAAAATAGTCTCTGCGCCAAAGATGTTACAGTTCTTTGTAAACCCTTAATGACTAACCCATCAGCCTTTCTACTTTTTAACCACCATTTCTGCTTTGACTTCCTCTGATTCTGCTTACTGTGGAGATCTCTGCTCCCTGAAGCCACAGAAATGGAGCAACACAATTACAACTGAACTTACTCATTGAGCTCTGACCGCTTAAGGAACTCCTCAGGCTCTCTACTGAGCCACCGGCTTTCAGCTTGGGTTTGTCCAGGGAGTCGCTGTCTGGTGGTGGCGACTGCGGAGAACCTGGCATGACCCCAGGGCTGGACTCCTGAAAGGGATCAAACCATTTCAGTTTAGTAAATGAACACAGGCACTGATGGGAGCTTCTTTTTCAACTCCAAGGAAAAAGATTCTGTTTTCCTGCTCTTTACCAGATAGGTTGAAACCCTTCATCTACTTATTTAGCAGTACTCAGCTGTGGTAGAAACCCCACTTTATTAGGCAGAACAGTGGTGACGGCAGCAAACAATTCAGTCTGGAAAAGCTAGCATTGTAAGAAGAAAGAAACACTACATAAAACTCCCAATTTAAAGGTTTTCATGACACATGATTTTTTTTGCCAGCAGAAGTTGCAAAACAGCTAGTGCTAAATTCAGCTTTCTGAATCAGGATTTTGTATAAAGATGAACACAAACAAATCAGACAAGCAAGTGAGACGTGCAGCAATTTTTTTTTTTGCAGTATATTTTTTTTTGCAGTGAATTCTTGATATCACTGCACATTTACCCACAAGAAAAAAAAAGAATTAGCCAGAAAAATGCAGCCTATGCATAGTACAAATACTCATAAATGTAAAATTATTTTGCTATATGTGCATTAGGTGAGGCAATTTCTGTTTTCATTCAGTCAAGCATTACAAAAAATCAAAAAGGGTATTTCCTGAAATTCTGTCAGCCTCTATGAAGCACAGTTAAAACAAAGCAGCAGATATTTGTGGTCAGCATAATTTTGCTTGGGTTTTTTTTGAATGTAGAAAGAGATACTGGCACATAGTTTGAGTCATGATGCCTGCAAGTTACAAATACTCTGAAATGATTGTGCCATAAATTTTGAAAACAAAAGAACTGTAGCTTGCATACAAGAATTTTTGTGGAGATGTGTGGTCATAAAACTTTTAGATGAACACTATTATTTGCATGCTGCAGAATCATTAGGAAAAAACTCACCCCAGCATATGACTTCAGAGGTCAAGTCAATCTTAGAGAGAAAGACAGAGCAGAAGTATTTGCTAAATCACTGTAAATCAATTTTGCAAAGGATCCCTTTTTTTTTTGACAGACTTTGCAGAGGGGCACTGTAAGTTCAGTCAGACACCAAAGCATCTTCTTATCAATATCAAATCATGTTAGACCTTAAAGTATTTTAATTTTAAGTTTAAATTAAATAACCATAACTGTAGCACTGCCCCTGGTTATGAATAAGAATGGCTAACAGTTCTGCAGGAAAGGGATTTTAATGTTGCAAAGCATGGCACAAAACTGGTCACGTTTCTGCCTCTCTGTGTGGTCTCCAGATTCTTCAGTTTGGGGTTGTTACTCTGAATGTTACAAACTTCTCTTTTTACACGCGCTAAGGCTTTGCTTTAACATCAAAAGGTAGATCTGGTGGGGTTTGACTCCAGCCTCCCTTCCCTTCCCAATTGTCTGTGACTGCAAGCACCCCCTGAGATCCAGCGGCTGCTAGGAGCCCGCTTGGGGGCGATGTTAACCAGGAAGAGCTCTGCTTTCCCTCAGGCTTTCCAACCTATTCCTTACACATTGCAAGTGGCAAGACTGGCTTTTTAAACAAATGCTGAAGACATCTGACTCTCCACTAAAGCAAGGAACCCAAACTATACCAAAAGGGAAAAAGACTGAAATTGTTTCTAGGCCACTGAAATTCAAAGACTAATTTAAAACTAATGTACTTCAGGTTTGCCTCTAAGAATAAGCTATAAAAATCTGTACTGAAAGAATAATAGGAAAATCTTCTGTGGGATGCCCCTTTCTGACTAGATTGTGTCCCTGTTTTAATGGGCTGCTGCAGAGGGCAAGCTATGATGGAGGAAAAATCTGTAATAGCAGAGAGGAGCTGCGTATGTGAAGTTACGCTGGGAATTTAAACTAAACTGTAAATTGCAGATTAAAGGTATTACTGTGACCCTGTGTCACAGACTGGCTCCCTTAACAAATTACAATAGAAAAGAAATGGAAATAGGGAATGAGATGTGTGATGCCATCAATGGCAGACTTCTGCTGATGAGCTACTTAAATGAAAATCTGAAAATGCATTTTCCACGGTATTGGCATCTATAGGAAGCCATTTCACAGTGAGGGATTTTATAAGACATAAGAATAAGCCACACCATACAGTCTTGTTAGAAATTTCTTCAGAGATGCCTTGATGCATGGGAATCAATATTGATTATCACTTCTACATTATTAAGTGGATTCTACCGCAGACCTTACGTACCTGTTCAGATAGAGAGCTGCTGTATTTTTTAGACATCCTTTTCTTCATGGTTTCTTTTACAGACTTCACCTTTTTACCCAGAGATATACGGGAAGCAGAGGGTGATTTAATCACTTCTTTATAAACAAAGTCTCCTTCTTTGCCCTGCAAAATAAAACATGGCTTAAACCTATAAAATAGAAGAGCCACTTTGTTCCTCAGTCACAGTTATTGCAGAGGTATCCCAGCAGACACAGGACAGCAGCATGGTGTCCTGCTGACTGCTCCAAATTTACTGTTGAGACCTTGTGCAAACCACTGTAGCAGTCCACTATAACTTACTCTTAAGGCCTGATCTGTAACCTTTTCATGAAAGTACTGGGTGCTGATGTGTCAGGGTCTGTTAGGATGCCTTCATCCCTTTGAGTTTCAGGTAAGTATCTGACCTGATAGAAAGCCACACCGTTTCATGCTAAGCCTGAAATACACAACAGTAGTTGTGGCCCATGTTGATCAGTATTACAAAGGGCTTAACAAGAATAAAGGTACCTCTGAGATCCTAGCCAAATATATATCTGCATGTGTATATATATATATATATATATATACATATACATGGATACTTACATTTGGCTACCCAAATTTACTTTTTATTTTCAGGTAGGCATTCTATTAACCTCTGTGGTTTTACTGTAGGCTGTTTATAAAAAAACTAAACCAAAATACCACCACAAAAAAGCTACTAAATCCATCAACAATGGTAGGTTACACTTGCACAGCTATTCTTAAGGCACACGACAGGGTACTGAAGAACTAAATTAGCTGGTCCATATATAGTGGATGACAAAGACCAGCTGCTTTGAATGCATTTAACCTTTTCTAAACCAGCTTAAGACATTGAGCATTTACTTATGGCACAAGCACACACTTAGCGTGGATCAGCAGATATTTTGCCAAACTTACTTGTATGATTCAGCCCTTATTCAGATTGTCCAGGCAGCATGTTAAAAATGATTTTTCATTCTACTCTGTTTCACAAAGCATAGCAAGGCAACTCTCTTAGAGCTATCACCATCATCCTCCATGGGCAAAGACGTGCCAAAAATCAGCACAGAAAAGGACCAAAATCCATCTGTCCAAAGAGATTTTCTACTGAATTTGGTCTCTAACTTGATTCAATTTAGGTACATGAAGACAGAAAACCCTAAAATAAATGGACATTATGTTTCACATAATATATTTCTATCTTTTTTTTTTTCTAAATTTATGTATGTTTTCTACTTTACCAATGTTCTCACATAAAGTTTCTCTGAAACTCAACTGATACGCCGTTTCTTACAATGCAGTATTTTTCCCTTCACAAGTTGTTTGTGATTACAACTTCTTTGGGAATTTTGGTCTTTTACCAGAAATTAAGAACAGCTCTTTGCCTTACTGTTTTGGAAAAAACCTTCCACTTAAAAGACTTAAATGTTTTCAAGGAAAAAAACCTCTTTGATCTGCATATATTATTTTGATGCACTGCATCTCACCCACTACTGATGATCATACGGAAAAAATGTGACATCTAGACTTCACACTTTCTTACGTTAAAAGCAATCTGAACAAAACAAGTATCTCTGTTTAAAGATAAATACTAAGATCAGAAATTAACATTTTTACTGAGGTGAAAATTGATGAGTAAAATAACCACCCACAGATTTAGCCAAATTAGGGTAATTTATGATGTTAAAAAATTAGTAACAAAAAACAAGTCCAAGAGACCCAGCTGACATAAAAAATAACATAATGCTGGCATACAAAATGTTTCACAATTTAGTTTTGATTTAAATGGACAGAGAAGCTATCAGATCCAACATTGAAACAGAAAAGAAAAACATATATGGGGCAAAAGGAAAAAATATGCTGGCAATTTCATTTGATATAATGTTCTGTCTCATTTCTGTTCTGTCATTTTTGGCTGCAGGCTGACCAACAGTAACACTGGGATCAACATGAGTAACATAAAATGGAATTAATTCTCAGGGGAGATGGTTTGGGTTTTTTTTAAACACAAGAATGCTCTGAGATCAGTTGCGCAGCACCCAGCACAATGGGATCCTGGTCTGCTCCAGAGCTCTTAGATACAATGAGAAAACAAATAATAAATCTCTTACATAATGATTTCCATGAAAATAACTTGCAGATCTTCAGTGAATGAAAGTTTGCTTCATCATCTCATACAGTAAATATTTTTACCAAGAAAGTATAGCAATCATATGTTTTGCCTTGGGTGAGATGCTCTGAGGAAGTCAGACTTAAGAATAGCCCACAGATGTGCCCCCAGATCTGCACTGTGATCACTCGTTCCTGCCTCTTTACACATATGGTATATAAATACTTATACACACATGGATATGGGTGGGTATGTTATCCTCAAAGCTAAGGAAGTTTGAGGTTAACAAAGATACTCTGTTTTCTTGGATCCCCAAACTATTATTACAGACCTAAATTACACTTCAGTCTATTATAACTCGACAGCACATTTCATTTTATGCTATTTCAAATCTGCACCTTCTTAAACTCACCATTTGGTCAGAACTGTTTCCAATATGAAGGGAACGATTTGTCAAGTCAAATCCTCCAAAGCTACAGGTTCTCTGCAAAAAACCAAGAACAGATACAGTTTTATCACAATGAGTAGCTCACTCAGAACATCTGTGATTTGGAGAACACCAGTTAAAACACAAATGTCTGCAAAAATGGAAACAAACAAACAAACAAAGGGATGAGAGATTATAAATCAAGAAATCCATTGTAAAGCAATATGAGTAATTTGTGTTTTCCAGAGACAACTCCTTGGCCTAAGGTCTGCTGCTGTGAGTCACCTATTGCCTACTCTTCAAAAAGAAAAAAAAGACTTTTTGGTCTGAGGAAACTGTTGAATCAAGTTTTCCAAGGTGCAACTTCACCTCAGCACTCCCGTCTGCCTTCATACGCTAAGTCCACAGTAGCAGTGAAACAGAGAACCACCAATCTTTTAAAGTGTTGAATAACCTACCTTCTGGGAATAGCTGCAAAGGTTGCATTTGCACTGAAACACAGGGAATTGCTGGAAGCTTAGTGGGGCTTCCCTTGGTAAGAGAAGAGAAAAAACAGCCCCACTATCTATAAGCATTGTGTCCCCAGAGACTCAGCAAGCCCTGATTCCAGACTAGGTACTTCCAACTTTCGCCTTGCAATCCAAAAGACAATAAAACCTGAGCAATGAACGAACGGCTGCATAGTATTCAAATAACTGGCCCTGTCAGAGGTCTCACAGGACAACACACCATGAAGGTATGGCAATTACAATTCACTTGCACAGTTTCAACTCTGGGCTCTGAGTGTGGTTTTGAAGACAGGCAGATGTCTATTACAAGTATTCTCTTCAGAGTTAGGGTTGAGAAAAACAGGAGAAGCTCAACACTTGTGAACTTTAGGTTCTTAGGGCCTGAACTGCCCAACAGAATAACTTAACTTCAAAGACAGTTGAAGAATCAACTTGGCATCGCATCAGAACTACAAAGGACTGTGAATCAGTGAAGACCCACCACCTGAGAACTACCAGGTTCCTCTCTGAGGAATAAGTAAGCTCTATAAACTGCGCTACCTAATAGACAATTATAACATATAATTCTAATAAAGTAAACATTCTTCCTGCCCTGTTAACCACTGATCAGCACATATATTAGTAGGTTTTAAAAAGTTTTATTTTCTAGCTTCTGTATTGGGTGCTGCTTACACCAAACGTGCCTGGATGACAGTTTCTGCAACCACAACTCTATCAGAACTGAAAGACAGCTTTGCCTAGGCCTCACACACATTAAAGACAGTGCTGTGATGCAGAATTTTTTTAAGTGTTTTTTTCCAGAAGGCATTGTGACCATGGCATAGGTTTTTGGAAATTGTTTTTGGAAAAATCTGAGACCAACCACAAGCAACATGATCAGTTTCTAAAGCACAGCATGTTTAGCTAGTAGTAATTTGGTTCTTCTGTGAAGGACCGTTATAACTAATCCTACATCATATGGTAATCCCAGCAATGAAGAGAAGACATCTGGAACTGCTCTGAGCAAACTTGTCTGTCAAACCAGCCAGAGCTCCTCCTAAAGAAGTCTTCTTGGAAAGCAAAATGACTATTGGTTAAAAGCTTCTGAGTAAATGTATCATATTAAGGATGCTTATTGTTTTGCTATGGACCTCCCCATACACTTAAAATTCAACTTCCACTTTCAGATTCCAGTAGCGACTCTGGCAATACTGCACCGAACAAGAAGTCTGTGGATGAGGAGAGGGATATTCAATGGAATGGCCATGCAATAAAAAGTATTATCATTTTGGGAGAAAAGAAAAACTGATGTAATTTGAAAATTTCATGCATGTCCAGGTCACTGAAACAAATATAAATGACAAAAATGAATGGCAAGGAAAGACAGAGTGACCAATTCCACTGAATACATAGGCATTGCAATTTCCCTGAGGTTGCAGCAAACAAAAACATTAGGTGTTTTTAGGAAGGAGCATTATTAGTTGAAGTTTGGCAGCTATTTGAGATTTCAGAAAGAACTGTATTGAAAAAGTAGGTAAGAGCAGCATGTCTCCAACATTTATTCAATTCAAACAAGGCTGGAGAAGCAGTTGACTGAGGAGTTCCTCAACGACAACAAAACGCTATCCATTTCCTCTCCAACTGTATCTCTGTGAATAAAGTAAAGGTCACTCCAGTTGGTTTTCATAATGAAATTACTACAGCAAGACGAGACTAACTTATTAGAAAAACTGAAAAGTTTGTTTCTGTCATCTGTATTTACAGTGGCAGTTTTAGAGGGTATTTTTAATTATGGGGCATCTCTAGAACATACAAGTATGCCCTTCTGTCCAAAATAACCCTATTATTCAACCCACAGAAGGACAAATAAGGTTCCTCTTATCATCGTAATATCCTTATGGGAAAACAGTGTCTTCTGAGTACAATAAACAGCATCCTGTGAGGGGCAGCGCAAGCAGTCAATGCAGAAAAAATAGTTAAGCTGCCAAGAGAGAATGTTCAAGGTATTGGGTAGAACAAACATATATATATTTTGTGGCCAAAGAGCAGAAAGTGAACCATGAGGGCCTGGTCATCTCCCACAGGTTATTCAAGGAGACAAAAGCTGTGACTCTTGCACCTTATATCTGAAGAATGAAACAGAGGCCTCAAAAAAAAAAAAAAATCTGTTATTCTAGAGGAAAAGCTGTTTCTACTACATTGTTCACTGGAATATTTTGCTTAACATTACGGACGCACTGCTGTTTCCACCCACTGAAGTAGGGATCATTATCAACTAGACAACAGACTAGCTGGCTCAGCTTTGGAGATCGGGCTGGCACCAAAGGCAAGTTCCTAGGAAACTCAGAATCATGGTTAACGGAACAGTCCAATCTGGGTCATATAATCAGAAAGCAGCTTTGGATCCCTCTGGAATGTTCAAATCACCTAATTTCCCATTTTAAGCACAATTTCCTGTTTTGGCCACCCCTTGTTCCCTTTCCATAACACTCTGAAGGAAGGTGCCACCTTCATCCCATGCTAGGAGCAGTAGCCACTGACAGAACAGAAGCGATACTTCTGGTGGTGGTGAACAGCAAGCAGGAAGAAAGTGAGTACCTAAGATCAAACTCCACATCTTTCTGCAGCTGTTTGGTGTAAGGGAGAGTACGAAGTGGGTGGGTGAACTGACTATATGCAATCTAAGTAGGGGAGGGCCAATATAAGGCAATAACAGCAGAAGAGAAATAGAGCACAGTTGAATATCAATGCTCTAATATTCTAAAAATTTTGTTCATCTCTCAGAATCCCTTTAAGAGAGTACCAACTCCCAAAGCATCACAAAAAATGTATTTCTAGCATCTCAAACAACCTCTGTTCATCAGCGAGCTCTATTTCAGCGTTAGGTGAATTTTAAAGGCAGCGCTTTGTCATATTTGCTCTCTCTCATCAAGTAATTCTGTACACACAGAAACTGCAATTCAACAAAACTCTTCTCTGACAAGATGGTATCAAGCTCTACCCTTACAGCTGTATTACAGTGCTTAAGCATTTCTAATGGCAAGGAAAGCAGAAATACTGTATTTTAGTTAAAAGTATAAAGCAGAGGGTGTTCACTGCAACCTCACAGAAACTGAAAGACCACCTTCATGGCAACTCCGACTCACAGACTTTTGGTGGATTCTCAAGAGAACCCTTTTAGTACAGCGATCCACTGTGGCAGCCCACTTCCTCTTGGCCTCCTCATCCTCCTCCAGCAGGCATCTCCTCAGGTCCTGCTTGTCGGCCTTGCTCAGGGTCCTGTCAGTAACGGGACGCACCAGCTGTGAGAGGTTGAGGTGACTGTACAGGCTTCTCTCCACCACATAGGTAATATTGAACTCGCTGACAGAAGTGCGGCCTCGTAGCCTTCTGTTTGGGAAGCCACAACCTCCACCCCCTTTCGTTTTGTGCCGCAGCAATTGCAGGTCGCAAGGTGTGGGGGATACTCCTTTCCTAGCAGGGCGCTGGCAAAGAAAAGCTCTGGAACAGGAATAGTTAGTATCCATTTTCTTCAATCGGATCTGCTTCCTTACACTCTGAATCTCCTCCAGGGACACCAGAAGATGGTGCTTGTGCCTGTTGCTGTCATAAAAGCAAATGCTTTCTGTACTTACCCCATGGCTCAGCGAGCCAAGGCTCTTCTTCATTTCTCCATCTGTCAAGGAGCGGCAAACTTTCTGGGACTTCTCCTCTTCTGGGTAAGAGAAAAATGTCCCAAGTTTCTTGGGAGGCTTGATAAGGCCACGGCTATCAGTTTTGCTGAAGGTCTTCACCAGCTTCCGGTTAGCTCCCCACATATCAAGACTGCTGGATGAGGGAGAAGTAGTAAGTGAGTCCGAGTCGTCCTCTGGCTGCTTTTCACAGGAGCTGTCAAAGTAGAATTGCTTCTTGTGAACTCCAGAGTAAAGTGCTGATCTGTCATCCACTATAGGAGAGTTGTCAAGTGAGTGCTCTTCCACACCTACGCGGTAAAAAAGCAGCACAATGCATGTCACTGTTTGCAATTCTCTGAGATGTTTCTCTGTAGAGTTTTACTGTATTTATTTAAGATACCAACCACTTAAATTGTAAGAAAACTATTCTTAATATAAGTTTCTCAGAAGTTATTTGTGCATGGATGAACCTGAAGCAGTTCCTTCCATTTGTGAAGTGAGAGTTCTGGGATGAGTTAACACAAGACAGACGACAACACCCTGTAAGTACACCCATCATTATTTAAAGTTTCTCTCTTTCATCTGCAGCTAAGTAAGACCACAGATGCTCTCACTAAGAACCCCTTAAAAGCTGGAACTGGGATCTGTTTCTTACATTTTTCATCTGATACTTGCATATGATGCTCAGCTACAATAGGTTAGAAGTATACCCAGGTAATAAAAACCAAACAAGTACCTCTCAGTTCCAGTTTTCCAATACTCAGTGCTGCTGTGGCTGCAGAAAGCAGTACTTTTTGCACAGAGTTATAGAGCTGAACTCCAGGATGAAATTTAAAGTTCTGGGTTTTCAATGGGGTAAGAAGCACCAGTTTTAATCACACAGAATTTATTTAACAGATGCAAAGGCAAAGAAGTAGGTCAAACTGCAAGTGTGCCAATTTCAACAGTGTCCTGGTAATGACAGAAACACTTGGTGTTCACCAAATTTTTCCAGAAAATATTTAACAGGAATATTTTGCAACACAAGTACTGGAGATGGACAGATAGCCAGGTTTCCTTTTTGGAGTGGAAAAAAGGGAATAAAAGACTTGAAACTGAAATTCCTTTTCACATTTATCATATAAAATTTTTTTTCTCCGTTGTTTTCTTTTGAGCAAAGTATACTCTCAGGTATTAGATGCAGTAAAAACGTAAGAGTAAAAAAAAGTGCACATCCTCCTCTGTCTCCCTGACAAATTTCACAGCATTCATAGGTATGTATCAGAAATGCACACAGAAATGTGATTGTATTTATTTTTTTCCAAAATAAATTTCTTGCATGACCTAACTTTGGCTTCAACTTTGATTGTTTCTACAGTCTTACAGCAGAGTTAAATTTGGACAACTATCAAAATACCTATGATTTACTAAACTCGCTCATTCAATAACAGAGGACACCTTTTATGATGAAAGATTAGTTGCCCTGTACAGGATTCCTGTCTCATCTTCAGTTCACTCTGTTGCCAAACATATCTGACATACATTTGATGAAATCTAAGATGCTATTTTATCAAGATCACTGTGACATTGAAGGGATAGTGGATCACATCTGATATGAAACTTTCACTCTTGAGAAATGTACTGGGGTAGGTCTGTAAATTGGAGTCTAGTTTTCATACCACTTTCCCTGAACTGTCCAGCTTGCTCTTTTCCCCCTCTGCTTCTCAATTTGAACAGAAAATATACATTCTCCTGGGACTGAGTATGTGCTGATAAACAATTTTAGTCCACTAAGTAAATATGTTTTTAAACAGCTTGTAGGATATGCATTGTGTGTCAAAACTGTAACAGATGTTATTTGGACAGAGTCCATGACACAAAGCCATAACGACACAGATGTAGATGTGATGTGTTTTTAAGTGCTATTTAAGAATGGTGCCCAGGAATTAGGAACCTTCAGTTATTTAGCTCACTAGGAGCAGACAAAGACAAAATACACAAGATTCAGATATTCGCAAATTCTAGTGAGTATCAGATCAGGCAGATGTACATTTAGTATGATAACAGAGTCAATAATAGAAATGTAAGAGAAGGATCTGAGACTAGTGTGCTTTTCTTTAAAAACTACAGGAACAGATAAGGGAAATTTGGCAAAGCTGTTCTTTCTGAAGACATCTTTGAGGAGGATTGTGAAGAATCTTTCTTCTAGGAAACTGTATGCCAGTTTTCAAAACAAGTCTTACACTTTGCTAAAGGTTGTTAAACACTAATGAATTTACTTAAATTTTACTGATATCACTCAGTCAAATGTTATAGCCAACTCCCCAAAACCTAGTCATCTAGAATTTCACATTACTTCAGAATTGTAACACAGATTACACAGAGAACAGCAGCAAACAGCTCAAGAACTGATCCAGTCAACTACAGGTAACTTGGAAGGCCAGACAGCAATACCCAAATCTGACCACTGTATTTTCTGTGATCGTGCAGAGCCCTCTGACATATCCAAATGAGAATACAGACCTACATTATGAGAGACTGTGATTGACAACATTTATGAAGCACTATTAATTTCCCATATGGAAACCTGGGTGTGGAATTTCCTGAAAAAAAAGTCATAGATATCTACTGCTGATGTAGACTTGGCTATTTAAGAGGGCTTCTAGTTACACAGAAGTTATGCAGAAATAATCCATGTTGTTATTTAGCAATAATTGTTTTTTCTACAGAGTTTCCCAAGAACCAATCTAAGAAGAAACTCCAGAGTGGTAGATAAAGTACAAACTCAGTTACAGATACTTTATTCAGAGAAGCCTAGAGTTAGGGAAGACAGTCGGGAGGTGGAGAAAGAAGGAAGAAGAGCAAACATTTTTTTGGTTACAATTGTTAATTCAGTGATTTTTCTGCTGAAGGCAGGGGTGGAAAAACTCATTGGGAAAAAAACCAACCAACAAGCCCTGAAGGGAACTGGGACACTTAAGTGAAAGACTGAGGGAGAAAAGGAAATAAAGAGGGGAGGCATTGTAAAAGAGGGTATGGAGAGCAAGATAGATACTTAATATGCTGAAAAGAAAGTCTGGTCCAACTGTAGGAAGGTGTCTGCATGCCCAGCAGCCCCCGGGCTGCCTGCTCCTGCTGCTGCTCGTACCCCTGGAGCCTCCTGCTGATTGCTCCCTGCAGCTTTTCCCAGACTCCCAGAGAGAGCAGAAGGAGGTAGGACAGGCTTCTCTGGGGGCCTTCTTTACCCAGAGCAGGGGAAAAACACCCCATGTTTTTGCTTCCACGGTATCACAGCTTTATGCTCACCCTATGAGGTGACAAAAACTTTTCAGACCACCACACCTGCCCATTCCAGATCCCTAGACAGGCTGTGTCTTTCATGCCAACAACTCCATCCATAATGTAGGAGAGATGCCGGCCAGATCATAAATCTGCCAGCAGCTTCCTGCCACATATGCAAGATGCACATGTTTCCCTTAAATGCACTAGGAAGGAATCATAATACGGTTCAGCTCACTGCTAAGATGAGGGGAATTGGCATATATGCATGCCAAGAAAGCCACCAGTATAGAAAGGTGCCCACAAGTTCAGTGAGGACTCAAGCAGGACTGTGCAAAGAGGCTCCTCAAGATCAGGCTCCATTAATCTGAATGCTCACACATGGATACAGGTCATCCAGAGTTAATTCTACAGTATGATGTTCCCAGGGGCTGAACTCCACTTCCCTTTCCCCACCCTTCTCCTCCTCCTCCCTTCTCTCCCCCTCTCTGTTGGGAGCAGGTTTCATTCAAAAGCCAAATTGCAGGCAGGCTCCCCCAGAAGTAGAATTTAGTATTACACAAGGCAGTTGCTACCCCACAAGAATGTCTGATAGAGTTTCCGTATTTTTGCCATAGGATTATGCCATGTGGTGCAACTGCTGCTATCCTCCCAAAACGAGCAAGGGCTTCACCTATGTGCCATCCCAAGCCTCAGAGGAGGGAGCAGTGTGGTGGTGGGTTCGCTTACCTCCTTGCTGAGCCTGTGGGGCAGCTGGCTGGCACTGCTCCTAGCATGGGGATTCCCTCCCCAGCATGGGGAATAAAACATAAACCAAGTTCTAATCTCTTAATGAGGGACTCTTGAGCGCTGCTCTGAGAATACCAGATCAGTAGTAACCACATTCTAGGCTATCACTTTCCTCCTTTCACAGTCTAAAATTTCAATTACTTAGGACATGCACAAGAGACAAGGCAGTCATTCCCACTTTCCCTCCACTTGAAGAGGTATAAACACTCCACCCCTCCCTCCCCAACCCTCTACTTTCTGTCCCCTCTCAACAGAAACATGCAGTTTTAACCATATGCACATTGCTTTTTACCTTCTGTGCTGGGTTTTTTCATTTCTTCAACTCTTATGAGTTTCTTCCTGACTCTGCGAGTAGAATTCACCAGCTTGTGCAACCTCTTAAACTTCACCGATTCCTCTGTTTCATCATCGGATTGTTCTCTTGACTGGCAAAGAAACAAAGGGAATATTAATAAAGTAGTAGTTCCACAGCTTGCTCCTTCAAGTTAGCTCATCTGCTGCGTTGTGTCAAGGCAGCTCTGTAACGGATGTTATATTTTCAGCCCCAGTCAGACAGAAACATTTAAATTACTGAGGGTTTTCTTGTTTTCTTTTGTTGTTTTTTTTTTCTCTTTTTCTTTTTCTGAAAGCATGACATACCATTTTGATTTCTAAATCTGTGCAACGTAAGATCCTAGGCATCGAAATGCATTCCTGCCCTTGTCTTTCTTCACATGCATTGTGTAATAACTACTTCCACGTCCTCTCTCAGCGCGTTTCAGGCAGGGCTCTTTCCCAGGGCTCTTCTTACCCTACCAGTTATGCTCCTGTGGTTTAGGTCAGTCCCTGGTCTGTCTGGCATCTCAGAACTTGCTGTTTAAACCTGGTTATAAACAGCTTCTCCAAACTGAAGCTCTGTCATTGACGACTTCTCTTTTTTTTTTTCCCTCCAGTCTTCCCAGAAAATCAAAAACAGCAGCACAAGAAAGGGATGGGAAGGAAAGGAAGGAGGAGACCTCATCTGCCTCACTCACAAACTGCCACAACTACAAAATATTCCCTTCCTCCTCCCTGCTCCTTACACTCCTCCTGAAGACTCTTGAGGCTGGAATTAAGATGGACAGAGCATTCCTCCAGCACTGACCAAGGGAAAACTCTGACCTTTTCAGATATACAGTGCAGTCCATATTCCCCAGCATCCCGTTTCGTTTTGCATCTGATCCAGTATACTCAGTTCCAGCTGTTTTCCCTCAAGTATCAAACATTACAGAGACAAAAAAAAATTCCCTTCTCTCCAGCAGCAGTGACACAACAAGCTGAAACAATCCATTCCTTGTGAACGAGAAGACGACTTCGATTTTCGAGCCAGATCCAATGTTCAACGTGCTACTTCCTCTGTTTTAATCAGTTCAGAATGTGGAAGGCGGTGGGGGGAAGGGCAGGGAAGGGGAGAGGAGAGGAGGCCAACAGGGCTCTCCGACTTGGCCAGGACGACCCTGGCACCGTGCGCCGCTGCACATTCCTGCGCACAGCACGAGCTCCGGCTGGAGCGCAGTATGGATTGTATACCTCACTCTGTTTTCACCCACGGCCCCAGCCAAGTTGCTGCATTCCTAATGGTCAGCTTTAAAAACCCTCATGCAACTTCCTGTCAGTGCAGCTATCTGGGTTTCCACAGTGCACTCATCCTTTTTTATTCCTTCTCCTTAATTAAACTTAAAAAAAAAAAATATTCCCAAAAGATGCAAGCCAAGAAAAAAAGAAAAACGAAAACCAACCCACCCTCTTCTCTTCCCAGCAAAAATGCTGTCTGCTTATCTGGAGGATGAATAAAAGAGGCCAAATATAAAAATGCTTTCTACTTTTCTAGTGCACTTAAATATCAGGATGTGGTAACAATGGTAGATGCCATGGGGCAAGACACCAACTAGCAGTTGCACGGGTACACTTCCAAAGGCACAAACAGTGCCTAATGGAGCCAGGGCAGCTCTGGAAGTCTACCTCCCAGGCATGCACCTCACAAGGGCCCCAGAACCACACCAGAGCAAACTTCAGCAACTTTCTGCAAGGGCACTACCAATTACTGAATTCACACAAACCTTGTATTACTCCAACAGAAGGAGGAATACCAAATGGATCGCATATAGCACTAGAAATTGCCATTCTGTCATCCAAGAATTGCACAAATGCATTTATTATGGGTAAGAACTGGCTACGTAATTAATAATCTTCCTTTGGGAAAAATAGGGCTGTAAAGAGGAGTACCAGTCTTGTTTATATCAAAATAAATTAAGCAACAAGATGAAGATTAATTCAAGGATTATGCCCGGGACAACTTAGTGACACATCAAACAAGACAGACACATTTAGATAAGATGATGAATGGATTATTGACTGTAATCAAGAAGTTCAGTCAAGACTTCTTGGGCTATTAAGTGCATCCTGGCAAGCAACCATTATGCATATTCTGCACTCAAGATATGTTTATTTTAAACGCAATTACTCTAAAGCATTGCTTTCCATCATTACTTTTTGTACACCCTCAGTTTGCAGACTAGTGCAAGTTTGTGAAACCGTGAGCTCTGTAAGACTTAGAAAACAGCTCCTACCTGGTCCTCCCACCTAGGATTTCACCAAAGAGTAAACATCTAGTCCTACTTTTGCACCACTGATATCTGATAAAGAACTGTGCCCCCTCAGGGTTATGAAGATCCAAGAACAACAACAAAACCTTTTATGATGTCTGACATTTGCATTCACAACTACTGCCATGAAAGCAAGCATCAAAATAGCCTCAGTGCAAGGTACTGACATCAGACCCCAGTGGATAGTGCAGAGGGTGCCCACTATACTTCAAAATACCTAAAGTAACATCATAATTAAGTGCCAACTGGTCTTCCCTGATCCTTCTGGACTCCCGGTGTCCTTTAAGCTGGGGTCCTCCAGAGGAAGCAACAGATTCTGCCTATCACCGGTGTTTGGCCCAGATAGGCGAGAACAGCTCATGTTTTATGGGTAGATGAAAACACAAGGTCACTTTCTGTCCAGCAGCCTATTTCCTATCATATCAGGTAGTATGTGACAGACAAATCTTCTACAAAGAAAAAGGATGGCCAGTAAGTTTATGCAAAAAGGCCTGAAAATGTCAGTGACTACATCAGTGGTGCTGCTCAGAAAACTTTCTTGTCAAATAATGCTGATTCCTTGAAGATGAAAGCATTTTCAAGAAGGGTTACTTTTCACTTGCTTCCTGTTTTTGAAACAATTTTTTTAAGAAAGGCCTTGAAATTATCAAAAGTTTCCACTTTGGCACATGGGAAACAGAGCTTAATTTTCCAGCTCAAGCAATGCTTTCTTTTACAGCTAACGTAAAGCATTCTGGCCATAACTGACATATTTGGAAATCATTGAACTTCGACGTTTTGACTTCCCTGACCCACACCACCCTCCCCTCTTTCATGGGTCTCAATTGCTTTTTTTGGTAGCTGTCCCTGCCTTTAGATGGGAAAATCACCCCAATGTCCCCAAAGCGAGGCAGACCATGCAAATGGCTTCCCGGACAGCTCTAGCACCCAGGCCTTGGCACAGAGCTTAGATGGAGCCAGCTGCCAGACCCCTCTTGCCCTCGTCCCCCTTCATGGGCACTTCAGTGTGCTGCAGCACTGCAGAAAGGTAGACATGGTCTGTTAAAGAGGGGATGATGCATCCCCAAAAGGCTCAACTAGAAGCTCTCAGCACTGGAGGAGTCCATGCTGCACCCCCTCTGCCAATGCCTCCCAGCCCCTGGCACAGAGCTGTCCCATCAGGCCAAGCCTTGGCATCATTAACGCACTGGTAAAACAGCTAGAGCCCCTCCATCTCCCCATCCCCCCACGCACAGCCAGGACAGGTCTTTCCCCGTGCCCTAAAAGGAGAAAACAAACGGATTTGCAGTACTGCAAGTAGGAACAACTTAACTTCCATCTCCTCTGCTCCAAATTTTTCCATCCGAAAGCCCATATGGCTCAACTTTTAATTACTTTGGCTAATGCTGTATGTAGTAATTCTGTGGTGAATGCTAAAGTGTTTCATTTCTGGTTTCCAGGGCAACATTACATCAGATTGCAGACAGCTGGCTCCCCAGCCTTAAACCATAACAAATTGTCCAAAGCTGATGCACAAAAATCTCGCTGGTTGAAAGAGAGCGCGGGGCTCGGCTGGGCTGCCGGAGACCCGGCAAAGCCTGCAGGGCCCCCTTGGCGGGGCTGGCTGGGCGGAGCCGCCTTTCCTCGCGCTGCTTGGAGCAAGTGCATCCCTGCATCTGCAATGCTCTCACGGTGCGGAAACCCGCCAGCTTGGAGAGCTTGGCGGCACAAATGTGCGAAGGACTGCAGGGAAACAGGGACTAAATTAACAGCATCTGGAAATAACCGAGAGCTGCATGCACAGGACTGTAGCCACCACACACCACATGGCTGGAAAACTACAGAGGCCAGGGCCCATCCCCACCGCCCAGCTCTTCCTTGCTAACTAATGCAGCCACAAACCTATGAAGGTGCTCTCAAATCCAGGAGAAATCAATCCCCTCTGCTACCTCTAGCATCTCCTCACCTTGGAAAACTCCCTACTTGTGCATTTCCAAAGGCCATGGTTTGCATCATCTCATATGTAAGATCCAAGTAAAAAGCCTTATGCTCAGGAATAAAAAGGAAATTAGCACATGTACTTTGACATTCAAGGAGCTCTCTACAGTTCTGCTCCTGGCTCCCTCTTTGCTTTCTCTCTCACTTTTCTCATGCAGCTCATTGCTGCTGCCTGCTCTGAAGGCAGGGCACACGCCTCGCTCTGCTGCTCTCTAACATCCATCCCATTTCACACGCCACTGAAATAACAATCCTAACCTCCCTCTTTGAATTAGTACTTCACAAACATACACACACACACAGAGAAAACCAACATTTATTAGAGTACTTGGAATTAATTGGCAAAATGTAAACCAGAAGTAAGTAGCTAGCTTTCAGCAGGACTATGTTTGGAAACCATTCAGGGTTATAGCAACAACCTTAAAAAACACAAAATAGGCAAAGCCTGCTAGCCACGACCCAATAAAAATGTGTAAGAAATGCTAGGACATCCAGTTAAAGCTATCATAACTGATTAATTTGCTTCAGCTCCATTAAAAAAACCATACATGAGCTGTGGGAAGCCATTTAGAGAGATGTTAAAATTTTACAATTCACTTCATGCCCAGTAATATATTGTTCAGCCTCAAACTGAAATCTCTAGGAAACTTTCCATTTAAGAAACAATGAAATATCTTAATATCTGATTAAGCTCAAACTGCAATTCTTTTTCATTATCAGACAATTCTTGTTCAGCAAAGTGGGGCAAAAAAACATATTCAGACTCATGGGCTTAGCACATCACATCCCCCAGTCCTGGTTAGCTCACCTCAGAACTACAAACT